AGTAAGAACTCGGATTCATGGTGAGAGTTACATGGAGAAAAAGCAGATAGATGGGACATAGTTGGGAAGGGTCATGACATCACCTGTAATAACAGAGAAAGAAAGGAGTTCATGTCAGAAAAAAATCAGTCACTTCTAGATCATTGGGATGTTTTCTGTCCTGGTAGTAGACAGTTACCTCATCATTACTCAATAGCATAATTGCCAAAAGCCTGCTAAACAGATGAATAAATGAAGCTTAAATAATACACAAACGAAACGGACTACAGGTGTACAATAGACTATCTGCAGTTTCAGTCAATGCATTTTCAGAGAATGCAAGCCCAGCTCTGTTCTATGGAGTTCCTGAGCAGTTTCCATGCTGGCAGCACACGTTATTACTCTTCACATAGGACTTTTGTTGCACCTTTCTTTGAAGCATCAGCATCAAATACTGTGATTGCAGCTAGTTGGTGGGCAGAAGAAAATTGTTGAGAAGTGTACTATGTGAGAAATGCTCATGCAGAGCAGGTTGTGGTTCCTCCATCTGTTACACAATGTGACGTATCAACCTATGGCATCTTTTCTTTGGAGTGTGTGAATGTCACTGAACGGTAAAGTAGAAGTTTGGGGGAGATTTATTTCCTTGGATGAATGATCTTCCAGAAGTTAAGAGTACATGAATGCTGTAGGGAGGGCAGAAAATTTTTGAAGGATTGACTAAATAATGGTCATTATTCAGCATTATTAATTCATTATTTGCCTGAGTTCAGAGAGATTGTGTGAATAACTATTGTAACTGTGTTCTTATGTGCTTAAGTGAGAGGTGTCATGGTAGCATAGGAAAATTAATATAATAGTACTAAATAAACTAATTTGGATTGTGGCATCTGGATTAGAAAAGGCAATGTTTTGGAGGGCTCTTAGAAACAGATATTTTGTTTTTAGAAGATTAAAAAATGACTAGTTCCATCCAGGGCATTGAGTCATATGTTTAAAACTTTCTAATTAACTTTTCCCCTCCAGACAATAGAAAATACTCATTTTCTACAGCAGACAGTCTAGAGGAATCTTCTCATGCTCCTCAGTCTCACTTTATTTGTGTAAATGACTGTCAGGATATACTGTTTACCATCCATTTCTTGCAAAGCTGTAGGGTACCACCAGAATGTGATTTCTCTATGTTTCAGGATCATTTTTTCAGATTGCAGGTCCAAGTAGTAGAATTTGCAAAGTCTGGTGGAGAAGTAGAAGGCTAGCTCCCATGAAAACGATCACAGCTTCAGGCTTCTATTTTTAAACAGGCTCCTTCTACGAGTCTAAAACCTTACAGATTCAGAAGATTAAATTAGCTAATGGTGTTTTTTCTTTTTCCAGTTTTCTTTTTGTCCCTAATTACCGCAGGTTCTTAGTTTCTTTCCATGCTATGTTTCCTGCTGTTTCCCAGAACTTGTCCACTATTTTGTCTTCTCCATTCCCATGTTTCCACTACTTAGGGCAAGGAGCCTGCCTTTGCTCTCAAAGAGGAGCTGAATGAGCACTTGAGTGCCTCGGTGCATGGCAGTAACTCTGAGGCCCATGCTCTGGCATCTGCTGAGCTATTGAAGGAGCCCAAGAACAAGAGGTACATTGAACCTGAGAGTGTCTTAGATATTTCATCTAAAGTGCTCACACGAGGCAGAAGTGCCCGAGTTGAAATGGTCGAGTGTTTGACTTTGACTTGGCCATTACCAAGCAAAAGGTTCACAGTTAATGCAGTATTGCCTATGAATAAGAACTTTTTTCTAGCGCATAACCATCCAGAGATAATGTAGGAGTTTTATAGAAAATTGTAATTTTTCCCCTAAAACTAGGTTTGTGTAAAATGTTATCATTAATCTTTAGGGAAAACTGTATCTGAATTTCAAAGTTTCTTTGACAGTGGCTTTTTTAAGGTGCATATTACTGAATGTCTTTAGAGTAACACTGCATTGTCTTGTTTTTTTCTTCCTTACGCTATATGTCTATATTTAATTGAAAATAATGAAAGGTCTCCTTGGGTTGAACTTGTAAAAGATATTTTCCGTCAGTGGTGTAAATAGCGTGAGAGGAATGCAGTTAGTCCTGTCCCTTGCACATAGCTCTGTAGGGGCTGGGTACGCCGGACTCATTGAGGAGAACGGCTCAAAGCAGCACCTGGGAACTTCAGCTGGGTGACCCATGCTCACTTCTTCCTATTGGCTGGCTTCCATTTCCTATCCACAGTGATACCCTTTTAAAGGACAAACAAACTAGTTCTGGCATTTTTCTGTCATCTTCCATCCCTTCCTGCATCAGGTTTTCCCACTGCTTTTCTACCACAGAAGACAATTTGGAACTTTTTGTACCAAAGTGGCTATTGCAGTGAAGGATCTTGGGATCAACAGAGACACAGATTTTCAGATCTTTTTCAGTGAGGATCCAGAGCATGGGAAGTACCTCCCTGCTTTGTTCAGGAGGCTTCTGTAGTCAAAGAAACCAATGGGGGGCAAGATCACAGTTTCAAGAGAAGAATGTTTACAGTAAAGCTGGAAGCAGCAAGCACTTCACTTATAAATTGTTCATGTGGTGTGACAAGGCTATTTGGGTAGAGCTGCCAGGTCACACAGGAAGACTTATATTGCACAGTGCTTCACACCAACTGTTTGCAGCAAGGACACATACACAAGATAGTTCAGTGGCAGATCGGGGCACATTTTATAGCACTTTGTCACTGGCAAGAGTGCATGATGTGCTGTCTGCCATGCAGCTCCTGCCTGTCCTACTCACAGGAGGACAGTGAATGTTTTTCTGCGCTTTGTGCTCTGTTGAGACCCTTAAAGTCAGGTCGGTGACATGAATGCTGGCAGAGCACTCTGACTGCACTGTGGGTTTTGCAAATCCAGCCAGCATTGGGTATACTTAGATACTAGGGGATTAGAGAGTGAAAGGCAGGCCTACGGAAAGAGGTCTGGGAGTTTGAGTTGACAACAAGCTGAATGTGAGCCAGCAGTGTGTCCTGGCATCCCAAAGGGCCGACCGTATCCTGGGCTGCCATTCGGAGAGAGGAGGGGCTGTCCCACACTGCTCTGTGCTGTGCATCTCCAGCACTGGGGGCAGGGCTGGGTGCCACAGTGTAAGAAGGACATAGAACTATTAGAAAGTGTCCAACAGGGGCAATGAAGATGGTGAAGGGTCTGGAGGAGAAGATGCATGAGAAGCAGCTGAAGTCCATTGATTTGTTCAGCCCAAAGCAGAGGAGCTGAGGGTAGGCCTCATGGCAGCCTACAGAATGGCATGGAGCTGCGGCAAGGAGGGCCAGGGTGGGTGTCAAGAAAAGGTTCTTCACCAGCAGGTGGTCAAGACTGAACAGGCTCCCCAGGGCCTGTGGTCATGGCACTGAGCTGCAAGAGACCAAAGTGTGTTTGGATAGCGCTCTCAGTCACAGGGTTTGGGTTTTAGGTCGTCCTGTGTGGAACCAGAAATTGGATTTGATTCTTCCAGCCCCGCATATTCCAGTCACCTTGGAGCCTGGATCACTGGTTTCTCCTCACAGCAACAGTTTCTTACCCTATTCAATACCAAAACTGCAGTGCAGCCCAGATGGAGCCCAGAAGGTACCACCCCAGTGAGTTCAAGTGCTGCTGACAACCGTACGGGTGGCCAAGGCCTGTACAGCATCTGATTTCCTGACAAAGGCAGCAACATCCATTTCAGCTGCGCTTCTCAGACCTGTTTGAACTTTGCAGTGATTTTGAAACTTTGGGCTCTCAGCAAAACATTTATTGACTTTCAGAAACACTTGGAGGGCGGTGCTGTCTACGACACAGCAAGTGTTGCATCACTGGTTTGTAAAATTGAAATAGCATCTTGCAAGCTGCTTATGATTCATAAACGATAATAAATAACTGACGAAGGAAACAGTTGTTGCAGAGATGCTCTCATGTTGTCCTGCTTGTGGTTAACTGGTGTAGGAAGGGGAGGTAAGAAATCACTTTTGACACACCAAGGGAACACACATGTGGACCTCACACAGTTTCTCCTCCTCATTTTTGAAGCATGCTCATCTGTGGGACGAAGGTAATTCCCAAGAGTGTTTAACTTGTAGGCATTAAGGAGCAGTGATAAAAATCCCAAACAAGAAAGGCCTTCAAAGATGACAAAAATGGAATTTTATAACAGTTTCTTCATCAAAACACAAGGTCTGGATCAGCCATATTAATCTCCTGCTGTGGCATTGTGCAACACAGAAGCTGAGACAGAACATGATGCTTAACTTCAAATAAAAAGCAGAGGGTGGGATTTTCCAAAAATCTGTTCTTAGCCCAAGTCTAATGTCATTGAAGTAAATGGGATTTTATCAACAACTTTGTGCGAGTCCTGCGGCACAGTACTTTTAGAAATGATACGCCATTCCTGGTAACATCTTGCACATGGAATTAATTTTACTGAAAGTGAGTGAGAGCAGTAAATAAAGAGAACACTTTGCTGATTGAATTTTTATGTTTCCTTGGGAAATGATCAGTCATTTTTATCAGCTTGCTAAGAAATGGCCTGCAGTGTTGTTTTATCCAAATAATTAGAAACCTTCATAAATTTCCTAAAAATAGTTGGAAGCCTTTGATAACTTGCTGAAAAACAGGGTAGGCTGTCTGTTTTGGGAGAAGGTGTAGCCTGATGGGATGAGGCTAGCTAAGTTGTACAGTAATCATGAGAATAATTATACAGCCCTTTGTCCTTACGCTAATCCCCGCATCACTCCTGCAAGGTAGGATCTATATTGGTGCCTTAATCCTGTTCATTTTCTTAGTGATGTGAATGCCACAGGAATGATAAATCACAAGGCCCTTTCCTTATATTCAGCAGATTTGCTACATAGTAGTTGTGTAATTTGGCCTAAAGAAACCCCTAGGCAGTGGGTGTTCATGGGAAGCCTACAGAGGAGGTTGTGAGGATTAAGAGTAATGAGGGAAAAGTCACCACCTGTTTCCCACCCCCCTCTCTCTTTCTTTTGTCTCTCCCAGGAGAAAAACCCTACAAATGTACCTGGGAAGGCTGCACCTGGAAGTTTGCTCGCTCCGACGAACTGACGAGGCATTACCGCAAGCACACAGGAGTGAAGCCATTCAAGTGTGCAGACTGTGACCGCAGCTTTTCCCGCTCAGATCACTTGGCGCTCCACCGCCGCAGGCACATGCTGGTTTGAAAAACGCTACCTATTCCAGCCGAGCTTAAGAGCTGGGTCTCTTAACTACCCGGAGTGAATTCAGCAGGGCTGAATCCCCTTCTACAGTGTTAGCAGGCAGGGCTGTCTCTGCTGTCTGTAAGAAAAAATAATAACAAAAAACAAATAGCAGGAAAAGAAGTGCCACTCTTCTCCTCGCCATCTGAAGCTAACCCCATCTGCCCCTCAGCATGGTTACCCCAAAGGTGTCATCACAGTCGCCAGGGAAATAGCAGTCAAAATGCTACAGGAATGGGCATTATTTTACATGCTGCATCCTTTGAGAAAAAAGTGTTTATAGCTTGTATGTTTTTTCAGCTGTTGGACATTTTGTTCCTGAAAAATCGCTGCTGATTGGAGGATTAGATGCCACAAACCGATGATGATGATGATGAGAGCAAGAACGGTAGACCTTTGTTATCCCTTCTTTTCCCCTTGTTTTGAATACTACCTGGCCAGTGTCAGCATCAGCCTGAGCAGTACTACATAGGAGCTGATGAGCTGCATAGGAGTAGGCGAGAAGATCCTGCTGGAGAGGTTCCACCATCAGAGCTGAAGGGTTGCTGGAGCTGACTTTCGCAATAACAATGGTGGCATTTTAATGTTGTATCACAAGTTGTCATTATGCCCTAGAAGACACCAGCCATTTAACCCTTTTCTTTTATCCTTTCCTTTCCTTTCTTTTCTTTTGTTGTTGTTGAAGTCTGTAAAACAAAAAAGGGGCAGCAGCATTTCTGTTACAAGTACAGTGTCAAGTATCTGTATTTTACCGTTGACTTATTTAGAACCATTTTCTGATTAATATAGAAAAAAACAATCTAAAAACTACTACCCCATTCTCAAAGTGCAGTTTTCTTTCATGCAGGTATCCTCTTCCCCATGACAGTGTTTGAATATGAGGAAACAGTCAGATCTTATACTTTCTAGTACCAAGGTTAGTGGTGTAGCCATCCATGAAATGGAATTGAATGTACCAACAGTGCAAAATAGAGAAGAAACAGCTGCGTCTCTTTGCAGAGAAAAAGCAATAATGAGTAAAATGGCTCTCAAGACAATAATTTACTCCACATCAACAGAAGGGAGGTATGCAGAAATTGCACGTAAGATAATTTAAGTTAATCTTCCTGATGGTTTCACTGACCTGTTAGTTACCACAATTAAGTACTTTCATTTCCTTAAACATAATGCTTACTTGTGTCAGGAAAGCAAAACATATAAAGGAAAGAGCTGAGTGTTGAGGAGTCAGTGGATGAACTGTAAGTAGGAAGAAGAAACAGTTGTACAGTGGTGCTCTGCAAGACATTAGGTTTCTCCCTGGGAGTTAGAGAATAACAAGACATTGCCAGCTGTCTATTATGATACAAATGCTCCTTTATATGGGTATCAGTGGCTGCCTCTGCTGGGATTTTCAATCCAAGCCTTTTCAGATTAAATAAAAGGAAATTCTTGATCATTCCCATACAGCTCTGTAATTGTGAATCAATTTGTATTAATTAAATTATGTAGGGGAGAGAGAGAAACTCCTAGTCATCAGTTGTTCGTGAAAACAGAATAGTGTTTTTCTGTTTTCCTTCTTCACAAGGATCTGCCTATTCAGCTAAATGAGACAAAGAGAAGGCTTGGCAAGATTTTTTAAGTGTTGAGATTTTTATAGCTTAGAGATAAAAGATGTATACATAAAGGTCTTTTGCAGCAATGCATTTAATTACAAATATTTGTTTCCAGAAATTGCACAGATTAAACTTGTGGTGCCACTTGTTCATTTTTGAAGGTTAGATCAGTCTGAATTCAGTTCTGATTCCCGAAATACTAGCTATGTTGGGAACAGGTTCTGAAGTCAAGATAATCTTTAAGAAGAAGCAGAACAGAGAACCCTTGCACACACTGATAGTAATTGCAGTTAATTGAGGATTAATAAGACTGGGATAATACATCATAACAGCACTTAGGCGCTCCAGAGTTTGATTATCTTTAAATACATTGTTCATGTTCCCCGATACCGGATAATCTGTCAGTCCCCCAAAAGAAGAACTTCAGTTACTATTCAGTATCCCCTCTGGTGAGTGGTCAGTATAGAAACTGCAGACAAATTATTAGCAGCCGTAGGTTCATGCCCCCTCCTAGAGATTTTCAAGGCAAGGCTACATAAGGCCCTGGACAACCTGATATCACTGTGGTGTCACAGAATCACAGAATCACAGAATTGTAGGGGTTGGAAGGGACCTCCAGAGATCATCGAGTCCAACCCCCCTGCCAAAGCAGGTTCCCTACAGCAGGTCGCACAGGTAGGCATCCAGGCAGGTCTTGAACATCTCCAGAGAAGGAGACTCCACCACCTCCCTGGGCAGCCTGTTCCAGTGCTCCGTCACCTCACTGTAAAGAAGTTCTTGCGCATGTTTGTGCGGAACTGTGTCCCTGTTCATCATAGGGGAGTTGGACTGGATGGCCTTCAGAGGACCCTTCCAACTGTAAGGATTCTCTGATTCTGTGATAGTGCAAAAAAATGTCTCTCCCATTCCCACCGTCTGCACTGGTGATCAACTTCTGTGAAATTTTGTAGCATTTAAGCATCCAACTCAGAACTGGGCATTAAGCAGCACTTAGTGTTGATGCAGTTTAAAACGGCTGAAACAGATGAGAGATTCTTGATAGCCCATAAGCCATTGTGGAGCAACAGAACTGGGTTTTTGCCAACAGCATTACTTCTTTCATTTTCAAAAATGGTAGTCAGTGCAGTACCTGAGGTGGTTCATGGATTGCATCTGAGGTCTATCTTTTATGTACTTTAAGGTCATTCCCTTTAAATGGATCAGACAACATCAGTGTTTTGGAGAAGAAGTCAGGTCAGGTAAAAGTCAATTTATAAAATTATTCTGCTTTTCCAAAAATGTTTTACCAACTAATTTTCTAAATAGCAGCAGAATCTGTGATTTTATTTCTCCCCCATAGAAAATGAAATTTATTTGACCAGCAACACATAAGGACATTCTGTTAGCATTCAGGAGAAACAATAAGAGATCTTCTCTGATGCTGTTCACAGGGGCTGAATATAACTCAGAGGCACTAATGTCTTCTTCAGGCTTCTATGTAGTGAATTGGAATTAAAAATCTCCAAGAGCAATTGAGAGGCTTTAAATTTTGGTATGCAGCTTTGAATTGTCCTGTGCTGACTGCACAGAGATCCCATAGGAAGCTCATTCCCGAGGGCAGAAATCACTCTTTGCGAACCCCTTGTCTCCATTCTGTGAGAATATTTTTTGTTTTCCTCTTTGGGAGTATTTTAAGAGAGGTTACTTTGTGGAAGGAGCGTGTTGGGACATGGAGTGGATATCCCCCAGGTTCTCAGGGCGCTCTTCCACCTGTGTTCCACCAAGTTCCTGTGCTTGTGCAGAGACAAAGGGCAGCTGCTGCAGCGTGGTTTCCTCAAAAATCACAGTAACTCACCGCAGTGCATTGCACGCGCGGCATTGCATAACCGTGGTGAAGGCTGACTTCACATGTGGCATGCAGAAATACCAGATCTTGTCTTGGCACAGCACAGTAAGTCCGTCTTAATTAACTGAGCAGTTGAGAAATACAAAAATACAGCGTCCCTATCCTTTCAGACAGACAGATTTATGCTTTTCAATATGAATAAAGGATGGGTAGTACCGACTGAGCATTATGGCTTACGTGGCAATCTCTGCCATGAAGTGTCAGATTTCAGGTGTTTCCAGAAAGATTCAATGGATTTGTCAGCAAATCTCAGTAGCCAGCATTACATGAAAACATAATGAGTAAACAAGTTTGATACAGAACTTTTTAAATTTTAAATTGCCATTATTTTTTGAGCGTCTGTTTTATTCAGCACTGTAAAATTGGCTCATTGCAACGGCAGTTTTTACTGGGGGTGAAGATGCAGTATTCCTTATTCTCTATCGTGCTTTCAATTAATGAAATAGATTTAGACTGATTTGTATATATGATTATTTGCTGGAGTAATGTATAACAAAATTAACAGTGTTAAAAATGACATCAGTGATGTTGATGCTTGGGATAAACTTACAGTACAGAGCATGGACAAATAGTTGGACAACCTTTCTCCCCTTTAATAATGGAATAGCAGTGATCATAAATCTCGTTTTCCATTAGCTACACTGAGAATGTATTCTAGTTACCATTTATAAATTTATCTTCTGATAATAAAAGATGTTTAATGGAAAAAATCTCTTTCTCCTTTATTGAAGTTGGATACCTCAAATCAGAGTAAGATTCACTGTTAATACCCTGCTTATTTTTTAGTTTGAACATTGGTTTGGAAAGGTCATGTGAGGAACCACATTTTCCGCAGCAAATGCGTCTAAAGTAATTTGCCCTGCTACATGCTCACCCAAACACCCATGCATATAAATGCCAGCACTTTCACATCCCTCCTCCCATCAGCAGATAAAAACAAACACGTTTGTGAAAACAAAGCACAAGATGAAGAATTTAAAATAAATTGGAAATAAAAGAAAGTGCTACCTTCTTAAGAAACCAGCTCATATTACTGTATTATGCTTTTGCCTGTGATTTATAATTGGAGAAGCACACAGATTTAAAGATGATTGTTATATTTTCACAGTGTCATGATAGCATTCCAGTTGCTGTGTAATATGCTTACAAAGTCATACCCATTGGTACCTTAAAAATGCTTGATTTCTGATCAACTGCAGCAGCAAAGCAGGTTTTAGTAGAAAAAAACAAGTAGCTATAAGGATACTGCATCTTTAGAAATTGAAATGCATTGAAAGTATTTTACTATACTTGTAACAGTTTAAATATTCTGTAATATATGTGATAGTGGAAAAGTATTTTCAAACTCACGGTTTTTCATGGGGTGTAAATAGGTTAAATGAAGTACATTTTTAAAAATCCTTCCGCTTTCATAAAGAAAAAATTGTTAGATAATGCCTTGCAAAGCTTACACAGAAAATGCTGAGAAGTAAATTATTCTGTTTTGGCAGAAACATTTTCTCTGCAACATGGAGTCGCCACTTTTTTGCTGTTTTGCAGATAGCGTGTGATATAGTGAAGTCATATTGAGTCCTTCAGTATCAAATAAGTCAACATTCAGAATGCCTTTGACTGAGTAAACAAAAAAAACCAAAACACTTAATGAGAATGAAAACCATATGAAAAAGTTTTGTTTTGTTTTCCTTCTGGCAATTTACTGCAGATACAGTACCAGCAAGCTCTCTGATTTTATTTGATTTTATTTGTGCTTGTATTTCCCTGACTACACTGCGTCTTGAAAAAAAGGTTGCAGAGCTGAAATAGGCAGCTGTTCTTTGCTGATTCCAGGGGTGTTCAGTCTTCGAGGTACAGTAGTATGCCAACAATCCAATGGTAGCGGGCAGTTGTGACATTTAGAATGCTCATATACTCCAGCACGGTAGTCTAAAATCCATTTTAAAAGATGAAACAGAAAGTGCCTGTTATTAGAACTGATGGGATGTTCCTATACTTTTACACAGCAATAACTTATGGGATTCTATCAACAATAAGATGAAAATAAAATTAAACTCTGAGAACAATAATGCAGCACAGAAGCAAACACAAAGTGCCATTTGTATTTTCATGTCGATGTATTTTGTTAAGAGTTTTAGTTAGTTTCTCAAATAATGTCTGTCAAATATGTAAGATGAAAATGGATCCTCGTTTACAAATTTCTCATATCCATATGGATTCCAAGTAGGTGTAAATGGAGATCATTGTGTTTTGTAGCATTACTTCCTAATTTACGTCTGATTTGCCCACAAATATCCATGGTATTCTATAGTAAAATAACCACAAAACCAGCAATGGACCTTCTACAGGTTATACACCAGAGCATATTCTCTTGAAAAATCCACTACATTGAATTGTGGAGTTCACCATATTTCACTTTTCTATTCCTTTTTGTAATACCAGTGCTTAATACCGTCTTCAAATTGGAGAGGTCAAAATATATCCCTTTTTAAAATTATTATTTTGGGGGAGAAATAAGTGGGGGGAAAAAGGTGGGTACTGTCAGTTTAGAGACTATTTGAGTAACAAACAATAAGCTGATATTCTTAGAATGGAGAAAGGATATTTTTTTTTAATATTAAGTGGCCTAAACAATTGCATCAATAGGCTGGTGGATCTCGCTAGAAAATGACCAGCTGTGTTTCTTCCACTCTGTTTTTTAATTATTTTTAATCTGGTAGGTTTCTGTCAAAAAGAAAAAAAAAAAAAAAAATTACTGTTGCTAATGGATTCTTAAAATAGCAGTGTAATGCCATCCCTCATACTTGTGCTTCTAAAAATGAATTTACTGGAGATCAAAATGTAACTGGTTTTCCTAATGCCAAGAAATGCTTTCCATTCCCTAAGCTTGTATGCAGCATTTATCCACGCAGAGCTATGCTCCCATCAGTGGGTTGCTGTTTGAGAGAACAGGTTTTTATTCACCAGGGAAGGAACTGTGTGCACACAAAGACAATGCAGAAGAAAGTGGAGGTGCAAAGTAAAAGCATATGAAACTGCATGTGAAAACTATGACACTGATACATGCAGGTTAATCACGTGATGACCACTGGTTTAGTAACAATTTATACCTGTTGGGCATCAGTGGAAATAATCCCATCAGAACGTGCATATGCTTATTTTCCCATCCCAAACTGAATTTCCAAATATTAAGCAAATAAAAGATCTCATTTCATGCTGGAGGTGTTAGGAGAGCACGAGCGAATGTGTTAGGAGAAAGGAAATGTGGGTTTCTTATATCTGAGCGGCTGTTAGAGAGGAGGTCTCAGTTCACTGCTCTGAAGCAGCAGTGCTCCAACGTGGCACCCATAGAAACCCACAGTGTTCAGTTGACTCCAGTTCTACATGTGTTGGTTCTTGCATAGGAAAGGACACCGAGGCTTCTACACCATGAAATGAGTTGGGCTTTTTTCATGTCTTTTTGAAAAACAAGAGGTTTTTTTTTTTCTTATTGACTTGCCAGCACCTTGTGCTTACTGATTTCAAATGACGAAATTAACTGAGACACTTTTGAAGTGATTTGTAGACTGTCCAGTAAACAACCATTCAGTCCTCTGGACTAGCAAAACTGAATGCAAGTTCTAGCTGTTGTGAAAATAAGAACTGTACAAGTTATTTGGGATCCTCCTGGCCGTCTGTGTGACTTCAAAGT